CTTTTCAAGAAATATTCTTAGAAATTCAATGCTTGGTTATGACTTTACTTATAGTGTTTTCATTTCCAAATGCTTATGCTCTTACTTCTTTCTTGATCCTTGTCAAAGAAATCAGTATGAATCACTCTAACCAGACAACAAAGAAATAGAGAAAATAGAAAAAAAATCTATCTAATCTGTACTTTCAGGGATTTTTCTATAATATTTTTTACTCTAAATATTTTTAATAAACAAAAAGGCAAACTTAAAATATGTTAATGACATGCTAATTGCTTGTAGGGAGTCAGTGTTGGCTGATTTGGGCTTAATAGCCCTCATTTCAAATCCTCACTGTCATTCAATAGCTGTATGACCTTAGGCAAGTCGTACCCTCCCCTAGCCTCAGTTTCCCAGTCTATAGTTCGGGCTACATAAGGTATGATAAGAATATAGAGAGACAAAAGCATGTGAAATGGGCAGATACAGTACCCAAAGTACACTAGTTATTCAGTGCCTATTTGAAATACACAGACAGCTTGCGGGTGGCATAGTCACCTGAGACACTGTTATTGAAGACACTGCAGCCTCATTACAAGTCATTTGCAACACCTTAATTCTGGATACCTTTGAGAAAACCATTTGAGTATTGAGCTCATATTCTTTATACATCCTTAAGGGTATTAGCTGTTAACAGCTACTATGACATATATACATCATAGTTGTATATGAATTGTTGCAGAATGAATTTCCACTAATGTCCACTTGACCCTAGATGGAGCTCTTGAGTACAAGAAATGACATATGGAGGCACAACCAGAGTTTTAGTACACTAGAAAGGCCTATGATTAGTTTTGTTACAGGCAACTTTTCAAAGCCTTTGTTTCTTTGTTTACAGAATCACAATTTAATATGTTAACATGTGAACAAATTTAATACTTTTTTCCTGCATTTTTAAAAAGAAAAGTGGCAAATATCTATTCAAAGTACATAGTTGGGTGAGGTGTTTTATTTGATAACTGCGTGGGAATATAGAATCAAAGACAAGATCCACATTTGATTTTGTTTATTTTCTACTCACGTTCACAGACAGGAAACTTATTGTTCCAGACTACTGTCTCTCCTTCTGGGACACACTGACTAGAAGATTTGCCATTTAACTGGAACCTTAAACAATAAGGAGCAGCAAATCATCACTAGAACAACCCACCTTTCAACTGTACAGACTGAATCACTTCTTTCAAGCATTTGTAGGATGGTATGCATTTTAAAATATTATGACTTAAGAAAAAGCACACAGTTACTTGTGAATCTGCTCCACCAAACAGTAAATCAATAATGGATTAAAACATACTAAAAATGCATCTTTTCTTTAGAATTCTCCCTCTCCTCTTTGGCATCCACATGTCAAGATTATCTAGATCATTTTGAGGAAAACAGTCTCAATTCCTATAGAGAAAATAGCAAAGACCTTGTTACCCAAGCTAATTTCAATGAGTATCACTAAGTCCAAGGTTTTCATTCATTCTCCATAACAGGAGTCTTAATTTGTGAACCAAAACTTTGAATTTCCAGTTGATGAAATGACATCTCTTACTTTTGCTGGTCAAGCACAAAATATACACACTTGAAGAAAAGAAAAGAAAAAGGAATTGGTTAATGATAGAGTTCTTAGTCAGAAAGCGTCAAGAAAAGGAAAGAAAATGTAAGACAGTGAAAGCTTAATTAACTTTAGAATTCATATTTTGAATCATTATGGGAAACCATTAGGGCAGGACCTATCAGTTCACACTCACCCTTTATCACAAATAAAGGAAACCTCTGCCCCAAGTTGGAGGTTAGAAGGAAGAATCACACGGCCATTGAGAAGTTGGCTTGGAAGGGCACCACATGATTTCACTAGGGAAAGAATGAGAGAACTTGCACATGAAGAGTCAGGAAACTATTGAATTTCCTTTGAATAGAGCAGAGTGGCTAGGCACCTTCACATGTTGGGGCTGCATGGCTCCAGGTTCCAAAGGATGTACACTGGACCAGGTTAGTTCCAACGAGATTATAGCCAGGTTCACAGGTATATGACACTTCCTGGCCAACAGAAAAGAATTCCTTATCTTTTTCGTTATAATCACCGTGGTGGATTTTTTCAGGTGGTAGACATCCTGAGGAAAGAATAGGACCAGAAAGTCCTTTTATTTCTGCAATAAGAACTTTATTCTTTATAACTTACAGCTAGCTGTCTTGTGCTTAGTTGGGTGGGATAAGGGTGTTCATAGCAACTCTTCCATACTAAGGCAGAGAAGTAGGGTCATAGAGTGGGCTTAATGTGCCTTTTTCTGCCTAGATGTGAAAAGCTATATGTCTATCTGCTCTCTCTTTCTTGATCCATGCCAGTGAATATTACTGTTACTTATTTTCACCTTATTCTATTAAACAATCTGAGATAGCCTTCCATCAACAGGCTAGAAAAGGAATCAAACTTTTATAACACAAATTTTCCCCACCCAAATCTGCCACATTCCATTAATTTCAAAAACAAAGCTTTTGAGGCTTCTGAATTTTGTTGCCAGGCTTTTAGAAAGGCAGACAGTTTATATTAGGAGTAGAAGGCGAGAATAGGGGCAACAGGCTCAAGATAACTAGCAGCTTTCTTCCACAAAACTTATTTTCATTATCAAGATGGATATCTACAAAATTTTGAATCAAATTCTTATCTTAGTCAATTCCATCTTTCAATATGGCCAATATAATGGAGAATTTATCCTCATTTAAATAAAGTACAACTATCTAAAACTCTAATGATGAACTTTTGTACTGGGTTTTAAAATTACTTTTATTCTTCAAAAGATGTAATCGTACATATTTTTGAGAAACCACGTCATGCTCAGATAAGTATATTGTGTAATATGAAAATAAGGGTAAACATCTGTCTTCTAAAACTTATTTCTTTGCAAGTGAAAACTTTCAAAATCCTTTATTCTAGATTTAAAAATATATGTGAAAAGATATAATAAACAGTGAGAATTCTACTGTTTATAGGGACACTGGAACTTATTTCCCCTATCTAATCTGACTTTTGTCTCTATTCTTAACAGCATTTGATATATTGTGCAATGGAGGAGTCTTTATATGTGTAGAAATTGATTCAGGACCTCATGCTTGTGTGTGTGTATGTGTATGTATGTGAGAGTATACACTGATACATATGCATATAGAGGAGATTATCTTATTTTATGAGACAAGGGAACTGGCTCAACAGCTAAGCTAGACTTTTCAGCAAGCCCTAGGGATCTGTCTGTCTCTGCCTCTCAGATTCTGGGATTATAAGCATGTGCCACTACACAAGGCTTTTTTAATATATAGGTTTTGTTTATTAAGCTCATGCCTTCACATTTGTACATCAAGCACTTTATACACTGAGCCAACTCTCCAGTTCTATATTTTTTGATGAGTCATTATAAAGTGAAGTCATATATAATTGTGGTTTGATTTGCGTTTCCCTGATGATTAGTAACGTTAAACATTTTGCAAATATTTGTTGTCCAGATACCCAAAGTTTCAGCCAAACTTACCCCTGAAGCATGTTGGCAGTGGAGGGCTCCATTTGCTGTTTGGCTGGCACCACACTATACTGCTGCCTTTCATAGAAAAGCCAGACTTGCACTTAAACATTACTGTGTCATTTAAGAAGAAGGAATGTTTAAATCCAGACTCCACTTCTCCATTTTCAATTTGTGGCAGTGGGCACTTGACTATAGGAATACACTGAGGGGGCGGACTGTTCCAGATGCCAACTTGATTGTCTTTGCTGGTGCAATGTATTGACTCCTTACCCACCAGGTCAAACAGTTTTTCCCCATTTTTTCCAACATGGCAATGATACTTTACTACCATTCCATAGAAAAAGGTGTCTATACTGCTTCTGTAAAAGTCCCCATTGGCAATGGCTGGAGGTGACTCACAAGGAATAGCTTTAGAAGGGAAGTAGTTAAGAAAAGAGAGAAGGCATTGAAATATTTTTTGAAAATTTAGTCTTCATTTTCATAAACAAAACTTAAACTTTTCCTATAACTTATTTTTTAATAATGAAATTCTGTATTCTGATCAAATAAAAATAACCCAGAAAGAAAAATACATGGAACTGGCTGTTTAAAAGGTCAAAAAGCTATGAGGCCAGACAGAGTACAGACTCTGTAATAGAGACTTCTTGGGGTGATCCAATTTTACTTGGTTGCATTTGTCATGTGTAAACTCATGCATATTTTAAATGTAAGAACCTATTCACCAATAAATAACATCATATAAGAACATTAATGGAATAGTGTGATAGAATTAGAGATCATGGAAGACTATCAGTCAGAGCTGTGTCCATAACAACCCAAACCGAGTGAAATGTCTCAGGCACTCATTTTTATGCGTAGGTGCCCAGTTTCCCTTTAGAAAGGGATAAGAAAAATTTGGTAGGATGCCGTAAAGAGATCGTTTTACTCACATTCACAAGTAGGCCTGTCAGTATCCCAAATTAGACTATTGTCTGAGACAATACATGTAGCAGATGAGTCACCAATGAGTCGATATCTGGAGGCAAAGAGGTGCTTGATCACATTCAGGTCACACTTAACACTTTAGAAAAGCTGAACTTTTTTCACTTATAGAATGAGAAAAGGGTAGAATAACATGCATGATACAGTGAAATAGTGATAAAGTAGTGCTTCTTTACTAGGTTCAACATTATCGCCAAATGAAGTCTGACTTCCTTGTCAATAGCACCGGAGACTTAAAATTGAAGCAAGGTAGCTCCATCTTCTTTCTTTCTAAGGATCCCCTTAACTGAGCAACACTGAAATGTCATTTCTAAAGCAGGCCAAGGAGACTGTGCTTTTGTTTTTATTCATATTAAAGGGTTTCTGGTTAGAAATATTATTTCTGTATTCATATACCCTGAAGAGGCATCCTGCCTACTCACCCTGTATTACAAGAATATGTAATTGTTGACCCAAACTTGATACCCATACTTATATTCACAGAGCCATGGAGGACGTCTCCAGGAGCTGCACATGATCTACCTACAAGGGAAACAAAACAGGATTTGGGGCTGGGATGGAGAAGACTTTATGCATTTTCTATTAAATTCCCTGACTGGACTTGCTGATGGTTCTGCATATGTTTTCTCAAAGCAATTTTTGAAATTTGTAAAATGTGTGCTTTCTCAAGGAGCAGTCAGTTTTGGAACACTGTTCAAACCCTATTGTCTATATTTCTGTGTATGAAAGAAAACTTTATTTGTGGTCAATTCTATATTAAAAACTCAGTTCTCATTATTAAAATCTCAGCTAATGGCATCATTTTCCATGTCTCCTGTATTAAAAGCCTACAGACATCATTTCCTCTCTACAACTCATCCTCTAATCCTTCAGTTCAATTAGTTACAAAATTTGAGGGCCTGGATTCCAGAATATCTCCCCAAACACTTACTTTGACATTTTTATTGTTTTACTGTATTGTTGAGTGGCAAAATTCACCTTTCTAGTGCTGGCCTCCCTTGGTCTAGTACTTCCTCCATAACATGGCATGAGTTCCTTCCTTCCTTCCTTCCTTCCTTCCTTCCTTCCTTCCTTCCTTCCTTCCTTCATTTATTTAATTATTGTGTATACAGTATTCTGCCTGCATGTATGCTCACAGGCCAGGAGAGGGCACCAGATCTCATTCTAGATGTTTGTGAGCTATCTTCTGGTTGCTGGGAATTGAACTCAGGACCTTTAGAAGAGCAGGCAGTGCTCTTAACCACTGAGCCATCTCTCTAGCCCAAATTTCTTCTTTTATATATAATATAATTAATATAATCTTTATAATAATAAATATAATATAAATAAATAAATATAAATCTATCATACCTCCCACTCAAAAATTCATGATGGATTACCATTGTTCACAAGAAAAAGTATACAATCTTGGAGTTTATATGTACTCAAACCATACTGATCTTTTTCCAGTTTTTCCAAAGATATCATTTCTGCTGGGTGATAGTGGTGCAACCCTTAAATCCCAGCACTTGGGAGGAAGAGGTAGGCAGAGCTCTGTGAGTTTGAGGCCAGTCTGGTCTATAAGAGCTAGTTCCAGGGCAACTAGGACTGTTACACAAAGAAACTCTGTCTCAAAAAACAAACAAGCCAAAAAACCTAAAATATCAAAGATATTATTTTCTCCAAATTTCTGTCCAGAAGGCCTCAATCTCCCTAATTCTCTTAGACAGCATTTATTTTCCTATGGTTGAATAGCAGTTTACCTCTACTATTAAACAACTTCATTAAGCCTGGAGATAGAGTGCTTGCCTCGCCTGAACAATGCCTTGTGTTCAATCCTCAGTTATATGTTATATATGTGTAACTTGTGTTGTCTCTTACACAATCCCCTGTCTACTGCTTCACTCATGTTAGTTAATAAAAATATTTCTTGAATTAAATGTGGTAAGAATAAGATGAAACTAATATTATTTTGTATACTAACATGTATTCTCTAACACAATGTAAAAATCATAGAATGATGTCAGGAAGATGATGCTTAACCATGGTGATGACTTAAACCCTAGTATTCAGAAAATTTAGGAGTTAAAGGAAACAAAAGAGGCTGGCATCATACTTTGCTTGCCATGACATACTAATTTACTTGTCTTTTGTCTGGAAAATGGCATACTATCCTGTACAGATAAAGTGATGAAGACAAACATGGCTTGTAGGAGTACTCACGATTACAGAGCTGCTGAGCCTCTGACCACTTGGAGTTCTTTAAGCAGGTGATTACGAATGGCTTCCCACTATACCCAGGGAGGCATTTGTATTTCCAAGTTGTGTCAACAGCAAACTCAGACTTATCACTCTCAATAATAGGTTTAGCAAAAGTATACCTCGGCAGCGACTTACACTGACCTAGAAAGGACCACAGAAATATCAAAGCTGAGAAAGGCTAAAGTTTCTCTGCTTCCCTCCTGTCACCAATTATTCTAACAAATTTGATCTTTAGAAGTATTCTTGTTTGGGGCAATATTATCTATGAATATAATTCTAGAATGGATAGACACAGAGAAATTCAGAGATTCAAAAGCTTTTAAAGCAGAGCAGAGAAATAATATCTGAAGATGTTTTTTCATAAAATTCCATCATTTTACAATTTAAAACTGTGGGTGGATTGTTTGTTTTTTAATGCAGTGAAGTCAGGAAAAATAAGAAAAGCATGTAGAACTTCAATAATGAATATATAGAACTTAATATATAACACAAAACTCAGAAAACAATAGAGGAAAATGAAGGAGGATGTTGCAAGATATCAGCATAGGGAAGCACTTTTAAATAAGGGTCCAGTTGCTTAGGAAATAGTGCCAACAATCGACAAATGAGACTTCATGAAAGTATAAAGCATCTGAACAGCAAAAAAAAAAAAGTGAAGAGATCGTCTACAAAATGGGAGAAAATCTTTGCTAAACAGATATCTGTTTAATATCAAGGAAATAAAAGCATAAACACCAAAATCCCTCATTTATAAGTGAACTAATGGTGTTAACATAGGATTCTCAGGTGAAGTATAAAATGTTCAATAAATATGAAAAATGTGTTAAACCTCACTAGTCATCAGAAGATTAAAATAAAAACCACAATTAGGTTCCATCTTTCACTAGCCAGAATGACAGTCATGAAGAAAATAAGTAAACAAATACTGGAAAGGATATATACAAAAAGGAACAACACTTTTACATTGCTGATGAGATTGTAAACTAGTCCAGCCACTGTAAAAATCTGTCTAGAGATTTCTCAACAAAATAATAGTAAATAGTATTTAATAATAACAAAAATAGATCTACCACATGATCCTGCGCTTTTAAATATTTACGCAGAAGAGTCCAAGTCAGCATTCCAGATATATTTGCACATCAGTGCTTATTGTAGTACTATTCACAGTGGCTAAGTTATGGAACCAACCTTGGTGCCCAGCAATAGAATAGATTAAGAAAATGTATATATACACAATGGAACCTTTTCAGCTATCAAGAATTGAGTTATATTGTTTGTAAGAAGATAAATGTAACCAGAGATAATAATATCAAGTGAATTAAGTCAGATTTAGAAAACCGGTATCTCTTTTTTTTTTCTCTCATATATATTTGAATGTAGATACAAACTGTCTGGAAGAACAAAAGGTACTAATGGGAGGAGAGAAGACTAAGAGAGAGGGGGCATCATAGGATATCCTCAAAGTATATTATATACTTGCACAAGACTGGCCTTATATAACCTTATGTAATAAGAACCTTATGTAATAAAAAAGTAATAAAATAATGAATCTATATACTTTTTGGTGGGGTTGAAGGGAAGTTATGTTAGCTATTTGTACCAGCTTTTTCTTATAATTGTGACCAAATACTTGACAGATACAACTTAAGGGAGGGAGGATCAGTTGGCTTATAGTCCAGGGGACACCATCCATTATGATGAGGAAGGCACATGACTGGAGCAGCTTGGTCTTTAGGGGAAGAAAACTTCAACAGCTGCTGGTTACATGACATCAGTCAGGAAGCAGAAAGTTTAGCTGGAAGTAGGGAGGAGATATAACCTCCAAGGTCCACTCTCCAGATAGATCTATGGCCTTTTAAAGGTTCTAAAGGACAGCTCTAGACTGACTGTACAAATACATGAGCTTATGGGAGACACATTACATTCAAACAATAATGGGTACAAAAAATAAAAAAAAGTCCTCTAGTTTTATAATTAAAAACCAGAAATATACCATTAAAATATCTTTAAAAGTGTTTTAAGATTTTATTTTTTGTTTCACATCTCACAGTGTTTTACCTACATGAATGTATGTACATTATATGTGATCGGTGACTGCAAAGTCCTTAAGACAGTTATGTATTCCCTAGAACTGGAGTTACAGGTGATTATGAGGCACCAAGTGGGTGCTGGAAACCAAACCTTGTCCTCTGCAAGAACAGCAAGTGCTCTAACTACTGAGCAATCTCTCCAACCTTACAAGTAAAAATCTTATAAATAAAAGCTTTTAGCATAGGATACTAAATTATCATAGAGATCTTATAAAATCAAATTTACTTTAATTGATTTATATGTGATACCACTTCTACCAATTACTCTAATTAGGTAATAATGTGTGATTATCAAATGTAAATAAGGACAAAGGTAAATTATCTTCCACAATATGGGAAGCCATTTATATTCATAAGATTCAATCAGTGGTAACAATACAGACCAAGAGGAATACAAGATCTGGAAACTACAAAGGAAGAAGGAACTTTATAATGTGACTTCCATGTCAAAAAGAGGCAAGAATTTTTCTTTCTGGGTGAGGCTCAATAGAAGTCTCATCTCTAGTAAAGAGACCTTGGACTTTTATTGAAACTACCCACCTCCCAGGCCACAGTACAGAATCTCCAAAGACTGGATTCTCCTCCAATCAGAAAAGTAAAGGAGCAGGTGACATGTCTCACTGGCTAAAGACACTGCTGTCAAACCTGACTGACCAATTGAGTTTAGTCCCTGGAGCCACAGGTGGAAGGAGAGAGCTAACTCTTGTAAATAGTCCCTGACCTCCAAGCACATGGCATTGATTGCACATCCCCACTAAACAAATAAATACATGTAATAATTTTTCAAATTGCATGATATGGGTTTTCTTAAAATTCCCTGTTCCCTCTTTACCTCTTTCTAGCATCAGGAGTGACGATCAGAGTAGTGACGATAACACAGAAAATGTTTCTGGAGGGCAGGGTGCAATGAACTATTTCGATCTAAGGGCCTTTACATGGATGATTTAGAAATCCTTTGGAAGTAGATGGAGGATTTACGAATAGGATGAATATAAATCTGAAAAGCTGGCTAGAAATCAGGAAGGGGATGGGAGACCATTATTGAGAATTATCAGCAAATGCCTTAACACTGGGACTCTGAATATCTAAAGGCTGAGTTTTATAAATGAGAGTCATGTATGTTAAGGAAAGTATGGTACTAAGCATAAAACATTCATCAGTGAACATGAAACGAGGTCCAGTCATCCCTAGAATTTGTTTTCCAGTAGAAGTTGTACCAGAACTAATGCAAA